TGGAAATGTTATACACGTTTATTTAAAATCATATGGAGTGTTTTAGTAACATGATTTTTAGCACTAAAAGGTTAAAACTTATATTAGGGTTTTTTCCTTCAATTCAGTTCATAAGTAACTATTTTAATCACTGTATTTATGGCTACGTACTAATAAAATAACTAAAATATCCTAAGCAGATATAAACCTCAATGAACAAAGCAGTGTCACGCATTCGCTTGGCTTGGTGGGTTTTCTCTGTTACATTATTTACCTACACATTAAATATCTACAGAGGGTAATACTCTTAGAACTTATTATTCTGCTTGAAATAAGGGTGAAGGAGAATCCAGAGACAAATAAAAAATTCTACATGCGATCCTCTACCTACAAAATTCAGTGTTTCTTTCCTGAAGTCTTGAGCTGTCCACATGCACAGAGTTGCTCCTGAATTACAAGCTGATTACACACACAATCATTCTGTAGGAGAAAAACGGTAACAGTTTATGATGTTAAGTTAGAAAGTTTAAACTGGGGGCACATATAAGAGTTCTCTAGAGTACGCTGTCACTATTTATATATTCTGCCAAACTTACGAATATGAAAATTCAGCACTGCTCAAAAGAACAAGGGACGTGCCAGGAGTGCATGGTGGGCACAGGACGACCAGAAGGCTGTGCGTGTCACTTAGGAGGGCTGTGAGTAAGAGTGACCGGTCCCAGGCCTCCTGAACTGGGGAGCACCAGTGTGTGCCAACTGTCTATTCTGCCCCGCCCCTGTAATTCCCCCACCAAAAATCAGTTACCGTTATTTGTAATCCATTATTCCATCCAAATACAGATGTCAAGTAGAGGGGAGAAGCACTGCTACTCTATGAATACTTGTAATTTATGGAAATAATTTTGAAATTAATCATAAACTTGAAAAAATTATTTTCACACGATATATAACTTTACACTCCATGTTATGTAAAATAGAGGTAAATCCATCTCTATATTATCCAGGAACATAATATTTAACTCCTTAAAACAGAATCAAAATCAATATCCAAAGATAGCCCAGTTCTATGATTTTAAAAGTATCTAATTTATACTTAAAATGTAATTCTAAACTTATATTTAAAACAAAAAAATATTTCCTACAGTAAAAAAATGTTTACTTTATATCAAAATTATAATTTATTCTAATAAACAGACACTTTAGGAATAATGCAATGTCAAATAGCTAAAAATCATTTATGATAGAAAAGTAAAAAAAAAATCAAGAGTGTGTGAGAATTCTTTTCAGCACAGCTTAGGAGCAAAACAATGACTGCAGATAACAAGTAAACCTGCCATGGAAAGCTGCTGCTGCTGTTGCCACTCGGGCAGACTTTTATTTCACTTCTATCCATGATGATATTTTAATTATTTTCAACTAAAATATATCACCTATAAAAATTAATTTTAATTAAATCAAAACAAATGCTAAGAGGAAACAAAATCAACTGTGCTTTCATGTTTTTTATTTTGTGTAAACATCTTAGAACCATATTTTAGGTAATAAAAGCTTCTATTTTAGGTAAGTAGAAAGGCCATCTTTACCAGTATGACATAAATAGGACAACTTAGTTATCTGCATAAAGATTTGATTCAAAATCCTTTTACCTTTGGGGATAATGCTGCTGAAGATTTACTTTCCAAATGGCATTCTGTTTGGTCTCTTATTGATCAAAGGTAAAGTAAATTGCTATTACTTGAGCAATTTTCATTCTCTGGCACAAAGAGCCAAAGAATTATATATGTAACAACAAAATCTACAGGTCATACGTGAATTCTAATCTTTTTATGTGAAAATTCCTTTATAAAGAAAGTGTAGAAAAATACTGACACTAAGCTTGTCCATTAAAGGGGATTTATTATAATTAAAACATTAAGTTAAGCCTGGCTGGCGTGGCTCAGTTGTTGAGCATTGACCTATGAACCAGGAGGTCACTGTTCCATTCCTGGCACATGCCCAGGTTGCGCGTTGCGGGCTCTATCCCCAGTAGGGGGCATGCAGGAGGCAGCCGACCAATGGCTCTCTCATCATTGATATTTCTATTCCTCTCTTTCTTTCTTCCTCTCTCTAAAATCAACAAAAACATATTTTTTTTTAAAAACAACAACATTAAGTTAAAATAGCTTGGCACATAATTAGCAGGGGAAGATATTCTCTCATCAGCTAGTAGATAAAAAGTGAATAAACCAGTTTCTGGCTAAAGATACTTACTTTTCCTTTTGTACACACATCAAAAAATATATTATGAGATTAAATCAAGTTCCTAAATTCAGGAGGGGGGGATATCAAATTTTAAACATCTCACCTTCAGTGTATAATCATATAAAAAAAATTCTCAATCAAAACATTTTCTCCACTAGCAAAGGGAAAAGGTCCACATCTTATTTCATACCTATCTTTTCTTTCACATCAGAAATATACATTTTAAAAAAAAGCTAAACCCAACAATAAATTCTTCAAGAGAAATTAAAACAAGAATTATACTTCAGCAACCCTAATTTTAACAAAAGGGGAAAATAAAACTGTCTCACAGAAACCTGAGAAAATCACCAGACAAATATAAGCTCACCAGTTGCCACAGCCTCAACCTATTAAATGCCAACATTCTTTAAGCAAATTTCATGAAAGAGACATAAACCAAGAGAGAGAAAATTACTAATTCATTCATACTGAAAAATGTGGCTCAGTGCATAGTACAATGCTCAACCAACTAGACCTAGAGAACATTACACTAAGTGAAATAAACCAGTCGGAGACAGACAAGTAGCACATGATCTCACTCACATGTGAAATGTAATGAACAAACTGAACTACCAAGCAAAACAGAGACAGACTCTTAGATAGAGAGCAGACAGACAGCTCTGGTGGGGGGCGGGGGGTATTNGGGGAGGGGTGGAGGGATTGGGTGGAAAAGTAAAAAGAGAGAGAACCCATGGACATGGACAACGGCATGGTGATTGTGGGGCAGGGGGTGGAAGTGGAACAGGGCATAGAGGGGGTAAAAGGTGGTGGAAAATAGAAAAGAGAGAAATGTGGCTAGGGTTGAAGTGACAAAAGGGGGAAATCCAGGAAAGTATTCCACATTTGACTGACAGATCTGCAAGTATTTCCTCCTGCTAAACAGATAGATGCTATTTTGTGTGCCTTCTGCAGATCTCATTCTTCTTGCACTGAGGTTATGAACAAAGTAAAACTGGTTTTGGTCATCAAATGTTGCCAGTGCTAGCTCTGAAATCTATCCTAAGTCCATCTGCTTCTTGTTATAGTTATAGTCCAAGCTAACCACCTCTAGTCTAGACCACAATGAGAACCTATTAAAAAGGTCTTCTTGCTTTCACACTTACTCCTGCACAATCCATTCTCCCCAGAGTGGCCTAAACAAACTTTTTAAAACATAAATCAAATCTTATCCTTTCCCTGTTAAAAAAAAATCTCTCAATGGCTTTCATCTCATCTTATAAAAGTCAAATAACAGCCTCTAAGATCCTACGCAACCAGATCCCTGCCAAACTCTCCTTGCCCATTATTTTTCATGCTGGCCTCATTCTGTCCTTTAGAGTTTCTCAACCTCGGCACCACTGATACATTGGGCAGTACAGCTGCTGGTTATGGAGACTGTCTGTGCATTGTAGGGTGTTTAGCAGCATCCATGGCCTCTACCCACTAGGTGCCTGTAGCACCAGCACCCCCAGTTGTCACATAAAAATTATGCCTCCAGACATTTCTTTTAAAGAAGCCAACCTCATTGCTGCTTCATGGTCCTGTACACTCTCATTCCCTCTACCTGAACTAATTACCCCCTACCTGAGCTCTCTGACTGGCTCCTTTCACTATTACCCCAGCTTAGCTGTTTTGGTCTCCTCAAGAGGCCATCTCTAATCATCCTACATAAAGTCGTGCCCACTTCCACCACAGCTATGACCCAGCACTTAACATAACAGAATACAAAGTAAGAGCTCAAAACACAGTGTTGAAAAAATGCATAAATGTCAGCATTTATGAGAAAGGGCTTAAGTGGTAAGATCGTAAAAGTTAATATATAATGCCACAGTGGCACCTGGATGCTCTCCTATACTGCATCTGCTTCACCTTTTGGACGTACACATTCTAATGCACCATTAATTCTTTCTGGTAGTATCATTGTCAGTTACAGGGAATGTATATTTGTTCATTGTGCATTAACAAAAATAGTAACGCCAGAGCATGCTCCCACAGGGTGCGGAACAGAGAGGCACCTGAACTGCTCAGAAGATGCCATGCCGAACATCCAACCATCAGCTAACAGGGAATCCTGGCTTGTTCCATCCTGTACATAAATGGCTCACCATTTAACAAGCAGTCACTCTTTATTGTTTTAAGTGGATGCAGAGGTCAATAATTTTGATTTTTTTTTTTAAAGACAGAAAAACCTGATCGGTTATTTCAAAAGCAAAAAACTATAATGAATAAAAGTGAAATGTGAGAATTAAATCTTAATATATCAATCACTTTGTGTTTTCGTGGGAACTGGTAAAATCCAGTCAGATGAGCCATATGCTGAATAGTTAAACTTTGCAAAACTGTGGTCTCTGATCAGTCTAGTCAAACTGCATTTCATTCATTCCAAAAAGGCTGATTCACTTATGTCACAGGGTCCTTTTAGTTACCTCTGGAGTTGTGTTTGATATTGGTACTTTGAATATACATACATATTCTTCAGAACATTAATACAGTTTTTTAAAAATTATCATGTCATTGCTATGAATTGCTAAAATATATTTCTAGATATTTAAAAATGAACACATAATACAGTGTACAGATGTTGTGGAATTGTGTCACCCCAAAAAAATTCAATAAGAGGGGGAAAAAATTTTAAATTTCAAAACTAAAAATTATCACTGATTTTAAAAACTATCATTCATTGGAGCAATTACATAAGAACTTATAGACAAGGGAGACATTGCAGACCAGTGTGCGAGTGGGAGGGAAAAGCCGGCACATACCAGTTGTGCACCATAAGTTTCTGCACAGCCAGGAGAGCGTTGTAGCGAACCTGCTGGTCTTCGTGGTGCATGTGGTTCATCACCAGCTGCTTCCCACCAAGCTGCTCAATAACCCTGAAGAACAGAAGCCACTTTGTCAAGATACTGCAATTACTTTCAAACTCGTGCTGTCAGTCAGCAGAAACCCCAACTCCCAAAGTGCCAAGGATTTTAAAAAGAAACCGACACGTCTTTTTTATATCATTTTCTCCAAATCATAGATTTAAAGTATTCAAATATTCCTCTTTTGACTTTCTAATGATAAATCTAATTGCTATTCTCATTTCCCAATCCAGGCAAATATCATCTACCTGGATATCTCACATAGTATTCTAGATATAGCTTTCTAGGTAGTTGAGAATTAACTTCTTGATTATTAGTACTTCTGGCCTGCTTAAAATCAGTAATACTGAACATCACCTAATATCCGTAATAATATGAGATCAATACTAAGTCCACCAGTTGCCATACTGTGAGACAGATATTGGGCAGATTTCAGGGAACACAGGGTTAAAAAGCACCCAGTAGAAGCCATGTTAATTTCCTGAAAAACACTTGATTTTTAAGATATCTGTTCTTTCTTATAACAATGGGATATATCACATGACCTCCTGGACAGTGAACCAGCGGAGAAAATTACTCTTGTCAAGAGCACCAAGATGATTGACAACTGACATTGCTTTCTATCACTGCACCTCCTAACACCCTGAAAAATACAGTTACTATAGATGCAAAAGTAAAGTGAAAATGTTATTTGCTTTGTGAATGGAAAGAGGTTCTCTGTTCCTTTGCAAGGACGTGGCTGTGGACAGAGCTGTGGAGTCTCTTAACTCCAGCGCAAGTGTGGATTCCCCAGTCTGCATTGCCTAGTGGGAGATATAACTATTACATAGTCAGTGATAAGTAACATCTTAATGCAATAGGGCTTCGGTGGTTTAAGACAACCTCACAGATGGGTGGATGGGGGCCAGGAGTGAGAGAGAGGCTTTTATCTTTATGCCTTTTTATACTTTATTTTTTAAAGCATCTTTTTTTTTTTTTTTTTTAATGTATTGAATTGAGGGAAAAAGTACAGTATAATTATTACCAAACATTAATTGAGTGCTTCAGAAAATCCAAATGATATTAATGGCTTGTCTCTTACCGTTTGCCTCGTGGATAATGCCGCACATATTCTCCAACATCGTGAGCGGCAACAGCTAAGACTTGTGGATCATCTGATACCTCCAGAAGTTTTGTCAAAATTCTGAAATAAATTTAATACAAAAAGAGGTCAATTTTTGATTCTTCTATAGGGCATAGCAGTGCACAGGTATAACACAGATATCCTCTGAAAATAGACATTTATAAATACAATTGTATTTTCTACAGATTTCACTATAATACTTAATGTTATACATAAGTTAATAGTTTTCAACTTTTATACATATATAATAGCTTAATTTCAAATTCACAATGTGTACCATGCACAATTCCTGAAATATCAAGGACTGCCTCTCCTGCTCTCGTAAGAAAGACAACTCCAATTTGAGGAAATGTTATTTTCATGTGTAACTACCAGCTGCACATTAGTGTTGAGTCCTCTACTGCTTTGTATCCTTACTAATTATATTTTGAAAATAAACCATTTGTAAACCTTTTGTTAGGATTAAGAACAAATTACCTTGAGCTCTGTTCAAGACGGAGCCTGAGCATGACATACATACCTCTCTCCTCTCTTGCTCCTACTCTCACAAAAGACTTGAACTTCACATAACGAAATCCACAAGAGCAAGTGAATGTTCCTGAGAGGACGGCAACCCAGCTTCACAGACCTGACTTCCCTGCCCTCCTAATACACTTTTCAGAGTAACGTATGAGCAAAGTAAAACTGCTGCTGGGGTCTCAGGATTCTTCTAAGGGGATCCAACTACTAACAGCTGAGAAAAGCTCCCTCTGCTGGACACCTGGAGCCATGACCATGATTTCTGCCGCCTCAAGGACCCCGGGAAGAGGGTTCATCTTCCTCAGGGGATTCTGTGTCTCTGGGAGTGAAGGGGAAAAGGGACGAACTACATGGCTCAGAGTCCAGTTAGCTGGGAAAGGCTGCTTTTCTCAGGAGTGCAAGTGGAGATTATTCAAGGATCATTCTAATTCCTATGTTATTACAACTGTTCAAGGGCAGAGAAATAGGTAGAAAACTTCTCAACTCATTCTACAAGCAGAGCATAACTCTGATAGCTGATCAGAGTGAGTAATTTTTAAGAATAGGTAAATAGAAAGCTAACATTTAAAAAAATTGCTTTCAAACATGCCAGCAACAGCCACTCACTTAGAGATATATATAATCGTCTTAAAGAATTAGCTAATTGAACCCAGTAGAATACTGAGAAAGTACCTTTATTCAATTCTCATCTCAACTGTCAACTCTGGCTTAGGAGCCTCAGATTGTCCTAAGACAACACCCTCCCCCCATCATTCTCTACCCTTCTTCCTAATTTATTTTTCTCACAGTCCTAATGACCACCAGTCATTATATATTTACTTGACTATTTGTTTAGTCTTTCTCTTCCAAATATAATGTAAGTATAATGAGAAAACTGTTTTATTTGTCATTGTATCTATAATACCTAAAACAGCATTGACCATACAATAGATGTTCAATAGACACTTGTTGAAAAAAATGAATAAATTAAATATAAAATGGTGATGCCAGCTGGGAAAAACAATTTTGACAGTTCCTAATGGAATTTAAAATACACAGACTTTTTAATCCAGCTATTCTATTTCTAGGAATCAATTCTACAGAAATATTTCCATGTTTCCACAAAAATGCCTGTGTACATTACCTTAAAAAATGACTAAGAGCCCCAGCCAATGTGGCTCAGTGTTTGAACATCAACCCACAAACCTGGAGGTCATGGTTCGATTCCCTATCAGAGCACATGCCTGGGTTGAGGGCTTGATCCCCAGTAGGGGTGTGCACAAGGCAGCTTATCAATGATTCTCTCTCACTGATGTCTGTCTGTCTGTTTCTCCCTTCCTCTCTCTGAAATCAATAAAAACAACAACAACAAAAAGATGCCTGACATCCTTAGCCATCAGAAAAATACAAATAGAAGTCACAATGAAATACCACTTCACATTAAGATGGCTAGAATTAAAAAGTAAGACAATAACAAGTACTGACAAGGATGTGGAGAAATCAGAACCCTCATACACTGCTGGTGGGAATGTAAAATTATGCAGCCACTTTGGAAAATAGCAACTTCTCAAATAGCTAAACATAGTTACCATATGATTCAGCAATTCTACTCCTGGATAGATAACCAACAAAGAGAAATAAAAACATATATACACACAAACATTTGTACACAAATGTTTATTACTAGCATTTTTCATAGGAATCCAATGTCCATCAACTGATGAGTAGATAAATAAAATGTGACATATAATGAAATATAATTCAACCATAAAAAGGAATAAAGTGCTGATAAGTGTTACAACATAAATGAAACTTGAACAAATTATGATACATGAAGAAAGCCAGTCACAAAAGAACAAATATTACATGATTCCATTTATATAAATTTTTCATGATAGGCACATCCATTGAAACAGAAAGTAAATTAGTGGCTGCTTAGGGTTGGGTGAATGGGTTAGTAGAGAGGTGATAACTAAAGAATATGAGGTTTCTTTTGAAGTGATGAAAATGTTCTAAAATTGACTGTGTTAGTGATTACATGCATTGTGAATATACTAAAACCTACTGATTTGTATACTTTAAATGGGTGAATTGTGTGGTATATAACATGTATCTCAATGAAAAAGAAACACAGACGCTTGCACATCTTATTATGACAAAGGGAGCCCTCAAAGCACTGGGGAAAATATTACTTTCAATAAAAGGTACTGGTTCAATCAGTTATCCATGTAATGAAAAAAATGAATCTTGACCCCCTACTTTATACTTTACCCAAAAAACAATTCCAGATGAAATGAAGTAAATATGAGAAGTTAAACAACAAAGCTTTTATCAGATAACACAGAAATATATCTTCATGACCTTGGGGATGCAATAACATCTTAACCAGGACACAAAAAAGCACTACCCATTAAGAAAAAGATTAATAAATTGAGCTACATTAAAACTAAGGAGTAAACAGTATGTGACAAAGTAGAAAAAAATAGTTGTGATGAATATATAGACAAAGAACTCATGTTCAGAATACATATAGAACTTATAAAATGAAAAAAAAAAATACTTCAACAGGGACTTCTGGAAAAAAGGATATACAAACTTCCAATAAGCACATAAAAAGTATTCAACCACATTAATGAGCAAGAAAATACAAATTAAAACCACAGAATATCTAAAATTTAAAGAGTGACAAAATGTATTTATGAAGATGTAGAACAATAGGTATTAGAGTATAAACTGGAATTTAAAACTTACTTCAGAAGCTCATAATTCTTCTCATTTAACCTCACGGCATTTTCTCTCCAGAACTTCTCAGATTTATGCACAGGACTCCATTCCAATCTTCCAGATTTAAGTTCTGAACTGTACTCATCAAATGAGCTATAAAAATTTTCAAAGAATTCAGAGTTTATAAAAACCCAAAAGATCCTCTAAATTAAGCACAATAAAACATCTTCACTGATTATTTAACTACAAAGACTGACCATCCTTTATACATTAACAAAATTCCACTAAAAAAAAAGTTTAAACAGCTTAAATAAGCTTTATAAATCATGTGAAATTGACTCAGGGTACTAAGGTCCAATATTCCTGTCAAATTTGAATCTCATTATAAGACATTAAAGGGAGTACTTGCTTTAAAAATCCCTACCCTAATAAATGTATACATAAATGTATATCAGTAAAATATCTGATAATCTAGCACAGTTTCTACCTTGCCTCTTAAAATACTGTATTTGTGTCCTGGCCTGGTGGCACATTCAGTTGGAGCATCAACACACACACCAAAAGTTTGTGGGTTTCTCAGTCAGGGCACATACCTAGGTTGTGGGTTTGATCCCCAGTCGAGGTCCATGCATGAGGCAACAGATCAATGTTTCTCTCTTTCTCTCCCTTTCTTTCTCTCAAATATTAATAAAAACATTTTCTCAGGTAAGGAGATTATATATATATACACATATATTTACTGTATTTTCCAGACCACTAGATACATTAATACAAATTTATGTAAAAGTATCTTACTTTAACATAAAATAAAATAGTATATTCTAATACTATTATAAACATTATAAACTACTATATTGTATTACAAAAACAAAAACACATATCTGTACAATATATTACAATGTGATTACCAACAGTGAAGAGGTAATTCTTTGGTTAGAAAAAGTAGCTAAACAATTGGAAAAAGTAGCCAAACAATTCAAACTGGAGTCAGCCTGGCTTCCAAACCCAATCCACCTATAGAAAAAGATGTATTTCTTAAGAGTAACTCTTTTCAAAATGTATCAATAATTAAAAAGCAAAGAACATATGAGTTAATGGGAAAGATCAGCAAGATATTATTAAACAAAAAAATAACAAATCTAGACGAATACACAGCATCCCATTTGTCTAATGTGTGTGTGTGGGTCTGTGTGTGTGGTGCACATGTGCCAGGGAGAAGGGGCATGGAAACAAGTTGGGAAGATGGTGCAAGTGGCATGGAGTCCCTTCTGTACTGTGTAAGCATTTTCTTTTCTTTTTTTGCTTCATGTACATCCTTTGTATAATGTTTAATATAAAAAATAAACCAACAGAAACTTCAAAAAAGCAGAAAAAATATACTATTTTTCCATATATGGGCAAAACTCCTCCAAAAATTAACAACCATTACTGCTTGAAAAAATTCTAACCCAGGGGGAGATTTTTGAAGGTTTCCATGGTAGGGCCAACAACCTGTGGTAGTACAGTCGGTCTGATTTTAAAAAGAAAATGGTGGAACTCCTCCCAAAGAAGAAATGACACACAGCTCTGACCAACTGTTACCATGGTGATGAGCCAGTCTGCCCTACCCTCCAAATATTTAATAGAAGACATAATGCTTTAGTGAAATCTTTTGAATTTATATTTAGTAACAAATTTAATTTTCCTTAAGATACTAAAAAAGTCAAACAAAGCCCAATATCTCTAGCTTGTGAGAATTAAAAATAGCATACCTAAGATCCTGAACACTCTCACCAAGTTTTTCCAAAAGAAATTTTATATCTTCACTGATATCTTCATCATCGTACTTTTGCTGTTCCAAGTTCTCCAACTGTTTCAGAACTTTGCACTGGATCATAGCCAGAGCATATTCTTGGCGAGTTTCTCTTTCAGTTGATTTTTCTAAAAAGTTCTGATTTAGACAAAGATATAATGAGAAACTACATAATTTGTTATGGGATAGTCTCAGAGCTCTGTACTTACTTTTACACCCTCTCTCCTCCTCCCCCTATTGACAGGTTAACTATCACCTTCAAGTGTATTGAAATCCTTACTTCTTTCCTAAGCATCTGTTCACATCAGAAATGTACTTCTGATTCCTTGCTTACTTACTGGCTTACTAAACATTTTAAATTGTTGACCCATACAAGCCTCAAAATACTGAACATGTTATAATTAAATCCATCACAATCCTTTCCCACAGCCTGCTCCTGAGCACACTACAGTGAACTCTCCATTCACTGGCCACCAAGATCACTTAGTATACTAACAAAGAATGTTTCAAGTATTTCTCTAGTTTCCATTCAGTCACCTTTCCCCCCCTTCAATCAACCTACAGGTGCAGAAAGGACAACAATAAAAAACTCTCTTGCTTGAACAATTACCAGAAAAGTTTTGACATTCAGGCAAAGTCCCTAGTTTTTCTCCTATGATTTTTATTTTTTTATTTTTAAGAGTATTTATGAAAACAGCAAGGAATCTAGATATTTATACAGATAAAATATTCACTGAATAAACCAATATTTCTGAGCAAAGAACATGTTTAGGCCTAGGGACAAGAAAAAGCAAACTCCTAAGAAAGCTACCATTCACCAAGTTGGTAAATGCCTGCATTAAAAAAATAAAAATAATAAATAATAATAAAAATCCTGTAATAACCATTAATTCCAAATCAACTGTACCAAAAATTGAAATTTGTTTATTTCTGTAATCAAGTTATAGTCCTATTAATTATGCCAAATAAACACAGAAAGAGAATTAGCTTAGCATATGGAAATTAGTGTAACCAATCCCTAACAAAATCCAACAGCATTTTTCAGATACAGAAAAAAAATCTTAAAATGTATACGGAACTACAAAGATCCCAAATAGCCAGAGCAATTTTGAGAAAGAAGAATGAAACTGAAAGCATCATTCTTCCAGATTTCAAACTAAACTACAAAGCTATAGTAATCAAAACTGTACAGTAATGTCATAGAACAGTCTCACAGAGTAATGAAACATAATAGAGCACCTAGAAATAAGCCCCTACATATACAGTCAACTAATATTTGAGAAGGGAGCCAAGGATACTCAATGGGAAAAGAATATTCTTCAATAAATGGCATTAGGAAAATGGGATAACCACATGCAAAAAAAAAAAAAAAAAGGGAATTGGACCACTGTTACACAGCTCACAATAATTCACTCAAAACTGTTTAAATACATGAAACTGACATACTCCTAAAATAAAACAGAGAAAAAGCTCCTTGGCACTGGTCTTGACAATAATTTTTTGGTTAAGACACCAAAATCACAGGCAACAGGAGTAAAAATCAGTAAGTAGAACTACATCAAACTAAAAGTTTCTGCACAGCAAAAGAAATAATAAAATGCAAAAGCATCCTACAAAATGGGAGAAAATGTCTGCAAACAATATATATCTGATAAGGAGGTTAATATCCAGAATATATAAAGAACTCATACAACCCAACAAAAAAACAAACAAGGCAATTAAAAAAAGGGCAGAGGATCTGAATAGACATTTTTCCAAAGATGTTCAGATGGCCAACAGGTTCATTAAAAGGTGCTTCACATCACTCAGCACCAGAGAAATGTAAATCAAAACCACAATGAGATATCACCTCACACCTGTCAGGATGGCTATCATAAAAAAGACAAGAGATAACAAGTGTTGGCGAGGATGTGGAGAAAAGGGAGCACCAGTGCTCTGTTAATGGTAATATAAACTGGTTACTGTGGAACCCGTGGAAAACAGTACAGAGGTTCCTCAAAAAATTGAACCTATATCTACCACCTGATACAGGAATTCCACTTCTGAGTATTAACTTGAAAAAGAGAAAAACACTAACTTGAAAAGATAATATGCACCCTATGTTCATTGCAGCATTATTCCCAATCACCAAGATACGAAAACAATCGAAGTGTCCATTAAAGATGAATATATAAAGAAAATTACTCAGCCATAAAAATGCAAGAAATCTTGCCATTTGCAACAACATGGATAGACCTTTAAGGCATTATTCTAAGTTTTAAAAGTCAGGCAGAGAAAGGCAAATACTGTATGATCTCACTTATGTGGAACCTAAAAACAAAAAAATTAAAATTAAAAAAATGAACTCATAGAAATAAAGAACAGATCGGTAATTGCCAGAAGCAGGAAGTAAGAAGTGGATAAAATTTATTTTATTGTAAAATAAATAAGTCCTGCAGATATGATGTACAGCATGGTAACTATAGTTAATTATACTATATTGTACATTTGAAAGTTCCTAAGAAGGTAAATCTTAAAAGTTCTCATAACAAGAAAAAACATTTGTAACTGTATGTGGTAATGGATGTTAATTAAACTTACCGTGGTGATTATTTCACAATATATACAAATATTGAAACAATATGTTGTATACCTGAAGGTAATATAATGTTATATATATCAATTAAAAATATAAAGGTAAAATGAAATTATCTTTGGATATTGAAAACTAAAATCATTGTTGACCAGCAGATATGTAGCTGAAGATAAGCTAAAGCCGGAATTGGCCAACTTTTTCTACAAAGGTCCAAATAGTAAATACTTTAGGCTTTGAAATATCTATGACAGTTGTAGTCTAAAGCAGCCATACTAAATACATTAAAAATGAGCACAGCAGTGTTCCAACAAAGCTTTATTTACCAAAACAGGTGGTAGGCCAGATTTGGCCCACGAACTACTATGGTTTGCTGACCACTGGGCTAACAGAAATTCTGTAGAAAATGAGAAATGATACTACCAAATGGAAAGCTGACTAGTCAGAAAAGGAGGAAAAGTTGAAGATATGGTAAGTAGCTGGATAAATACAAAGGACAATAAGACCATTTAAAGGAAGAGTTAAAACACTGTATTTAAGGTTTCTAACATAGGTTGATACAATATAATATGGCAACTACAATATAAAAAAGGAAAAACATATATTTTACATAAGATATATAATCTTAATTTTAAATATAATGAAAAGAAGTTAAGAATGTATATTGTAACATCAAAACAATCTTTAAAAAATAAAACACCACAAAGAATATTTAAAAAGCCAATAGAAAAATTAAAATGAAACTCCAAAAAGGATCCAATTCACCCAAGAGAAGGCAATAATGGAAGACAGGAGAACAAAAAAAAAAAAGAGAGAGAGAGAGAAAATGGTAAAATGGCTGGTAGAACTAAATCCAACCATGTCAGCGGGGCAAAGGCAACAACAACAAATGAACAAATGGGACTACATCAAACTAAAATGCTTCTGCATGGCAAAGAAAACCATCAACAAAATGAAAAGACAACCTACTGAATGGGAGAACATATTCACAAATATATATCTGAAAAGGGGCTGATATCCAAAATACTTAAGGAACTAATATAACTCAATAACAAAAAAATAAGCAGATTTTTAAAAATGGGCAGAGGACATAAAGAGACATTTCTCCAAAAAAGATATACAGACAGCCAACAGAACTTACTTATTAAAGGTTGCTGATCAAGAGTTCATAGCACTACACTGACATGTGGACCACACTTGAGGCATCACTGTATTAAAAAAACTTACCCCAAGATTAAAAATCTCTCAGTCTTATTAGACTTCATCATATCTCATGAACAAAATAGGAAGATTCCTGTAATAAGGGATGAGGGATAAACTTGGGAATAAAAATTTTTGATAGCACTACTTCCATGTCAAAGCAGTGGGCAAAAGATTCTCATACATTTAAACTAGAGTGGGCTTCTTTGAAAGGATTATGGCTATGAACTGTCTGCACAGGAAGGTATATGTATGTACATATCTCTGTGTGTATATATGTATGTGCGTGTGAATTAAACATTGTGATTAATATAACTAATGAAAATCAAAATTCAATTGGTGATATTTCTTTCTAAGCCTTTCTACTAAAAATCATACAGTTGTAAAAATATAATTTATCTCATTATCTGATATATATACTCTTAACTAAGCAGAGCCAAAAAGAGAAATAAAACTCAACAGATGTAAAACTCAAAAATACAAATATGAACTTCAATGTCTTTCTCAGTCACAGGCTCAAAACATTCTTATTTATATTAGGAACTAAAGACTGACAAATCAGTTTAACCAATAGAATAACATGTGGAGAGACCTGGAGTTCAGCACCTGCTATGAATAAGTGAGATTGACATTTTCAAAAATAAATTCATCCAGTCAAGTGGAAAAAATAATAATTAGTAGCTGCTAGATTTCTTCAGCCCATAGCAGCTCAGCAAGCTTCCTGAAGTCTTCAGCACAAAAATTTCCTTCCTGAGTTTCAGGATGTGGGGAAAAATATATCAGTAGACCATCCTCAAACAAACTTATCAGTGAAATCTTTTTTAAAGGGAATAGAATATAAAGAAAAAAGGACACATTGGTTTTTTCCACATATTGGATGGTCTAAATCAAAAGGCTTAACTATGTCCTTCCTAACGGCTCCATTTTAACTTAGTCATGTACATCAAAGTTGTGGGCATCTAAAGACACTCTTGATTTTCAGCCCTAAATATGCTCACCTAATGATTGTATTGTCACTAATTTAGCACAGAAGAGTACAAAAAAACCTAATATTCCTGCCAATAGATTGGGTCTATTTTAAATAATTTCAAATCTAAATTAGAAAATAGAAGCCCAGAGAAGGTGATGTCAGCATCATGGCAAAGTGAAAAGACTCCTTTGTTTCTCTCTTTGAATTTGCAATAAATAACTGTAACTCAACAAAGAATATTCTCCTCAACACACAAACATGCCTGAACGATCCATGCATCAGTACATCTAAAGGGGAGCATATTGGAAAGACAAGGAGAGGAGGTAGGAGGAGAGGGGGGATAGAGACAGTGGCCACATGTGTAGTTGGGGGCCCACCACATTACCAGCAAGCATGGTACTTGTGGAGAAGGGATGACTCCACTATATCCCTCAACCAAAGGGATGACACTCCACTACAATCCCAGAGGCGCAAATAATGTAAGGAAGAGAAAACAAAAATTTAACTGTAACATCTACTAGAAAACAAAAGAAAGTGCCTTACCTATCAACTTACTAAATTGTTAAGAACAAATGGGTATCTAAACAAGAAAAGAGTTAACTACCTCAGATGCACAGCCAGAGAAACAAGCCAACAAATGCCAGGAACAATCAAAGTAACACAGGAGCACAGAAAGAAAATGAAAAGTCTCCAAAAACCAAACTGAAAATTATAGGACATTGTGATTTAAATGGCAGAGAATTTCAGATTGCAGTTAAGAAGAGGCTCAGCAAAAGAAAGCACAAGCTCAACAAGGTAAAAGCACAAGCTCAACAAGATAAAAGACAGCACAGAAAGGCAGTTCAGTGAGTTGAGGAACGAAATTAATGAACAAAAGAAGTACTTTACCGAAGAGACGGAAACCATAAAAAAGAACCAAATAAATTCTGGGAATGAAAAACTTAATAAACAAGATGAGGAATGCATTAGAGAGCATTGGAAACAGAGCAGAACAGATGGAAAAATTAGTAAGCTCAAAGATAAAAATCTAAAAATGACCCAAGAGCAGGAAAAAAAGAAGAGTTAAAAATAATGAAGAACTCTATAGAAACCATCTGACTCCATTAGAAAGAGCAACATAAGGATAATGGTTATACCAGAAGGATAGGAGAGGGAGAAAGGATCAGAGAGCCTCCACAAATAAATAGTTGATGAGAACTTTCCAAGCCTATGGAAAGAACCTGACTTTAGAATAGAGGGCACTAACAGAACACCTCATTATATTCACATAAAAAGACCTCCAAGATACATTTTACTCAAATTGTCCAAAATAAATGACAAAGAAAGAATTCTACATGCAGCCAGGGAAAAGACTATAACCTACAAAGAAAACCCAATTGGATTACCATCAGAGTTTTCAACAGAAACATTATAAACCAGGAGAGAGTGGAAGGAAACATTCAAAATATTGAAAGAGGGGAATCATCAGCCAAGAATAATATATCCAGCAGATTTATCATTTAGAAATAAAGGAGAAATAAAGGCTTTCATAGACAAACAATAGCTGAGAGAATTTACCCCACACAAGACCTGCATTACAAGAAATGTTGAAAGGAGATCTACCAGAAACAAAAAGACAAAAGTATATAAAACTTTGAATAATAGACAGAAGCATGAAATTACAAATCTACTTCAGAAATGAATATTAAACATGTATTTTGCAACAAATGTTAATTGTTAATGCAATTTGGTAATAAATGATCAACATATAAAAGATAATTTGTGACAAAATCATAAAAAGCGAAGAGAAAAAGACCTGAACGCATAGCGTTGAAAGAACATAAGATGCAATACAAAAAAAAGACACTAGTATGTATGAGACATTTACACAAACCTAATAGTAACCACAAAACAAAAATCCAGAGATGAGACACAAAACATAAAAAAAGAGAAAAGAGAGGAAAAAAATCATAGAAAACCACCAAACTAAAGTAGCAAACAGAATCATGAGTCAGACTGCCTGAGTCTGAATTCCAGCTCTGCTGCTTTCTGGCCAGTTTGGCAAATTACTTAACCTCTTGTGACCTCAGACCCATTGCATGGGGTTCTTGGGAGATTAAATGCATAATACATTTAAAGCAATTAAAGCAGTGCCTGACACAGAATAAACTCTCAATAAACATTAGTTATTACTATTATTATTAACTATAAACATCTAGAAAAGTTATTACACATCAAATTTTAAAAATTAAAATGTGACAAATGCTATGAATAAGCAATTTATAGGAGGAATATAAATGGCTGATAAAAATATTAAAAAGATGTTCAGCTCCACCCATTATTAACAGAATATAAATTTAAAACAATTTCATTTTCACCTAATTTTTTGTAACAATTAAAAGATTATATTAATTGCAAGTAAAAGAATGGAAAAGCATGCATTTCCAATATATAGTTGATAAAAATGTAAATTTGCACATTTTTGAAAGGTGATTTGATATTACCTATCAAAACTGTAGAAAAGTATACTCAGCAAATCCATCTCTAGAACTGTATCCAACAGAAATATTCATTAAAGTGGGCAAGCATATGTAAAAACCCTACATGCCCATCAATAGAACACTGGTTAAGTAAACCCCGTTACATCAACATGGTAGAATATAGCCATTAAAAAGAATACTGAAGATAAACACATATAAAAATGAAAACATATTCATTATATAGTATTAAGAATAAAGTTATAAAACAGCATCACATGATGCCATTTTTATTTTTAAATACAAAACAAAATTACAGGCCTATTTATATGTTTATTTCTATGTGCTTAGAAAAATTACAAAGATGTAAGTGACTACAGTTGGCAGATGTGATGTCAATGCTATTTAAATGTCTCTGATATATCTGTACACTTTTTATTTTGGATTTGTTGTTTATTTAAAGAAAGCACAATAACAAATAATGGTTAAAAGCAGATTCTGAAGCCAATAACTTGGATTTGCATATATTATGGAAATATATATATGTCTACCACATATATTTATAGTTGCTCAGAAATACTGCAAGTTAGTAGATCCAAAATCTGAAATACAATTCCATACCACAATAAGGGTCCCATAAGAGAAAAGCCTCAAGAATAGTCTTTTGGGAAACACTGTAACAACAGAAGCAACAAAAGGGCTTCCTTCTTTATTGAGTTTATTGAGGTGACATTGAGTCTGTAACTGGACAGAGCATCATCTGCATACTGCACCATGTGCCTGTCACCCAAAGGAAAGCCTCTTTCTGTCCCCATTTACTCCCCTTTTCTCTGGCGAGGCTACCACCACACTGTTGTCTGGGTCTATGTGTTATAGGTCAAAAAGGGGGGGGGGATTTTCTCTGTCCAAATGCAATGCAACTACCTTTTCTTACAAGCATTCCAGAGCTCATCCATTTCATCCACTTAAAAGCTTTCCTCCCACCTGTCCCAGTCCCCAGGGCGTAAATACAAATCAGTGGCTTTTACTCTGTGTCCACCAAGATGCGTTTCACAAGTGCACGAAGAACAAGTGATGTTTTCCCAGCTGCTAAAGGCCCTACGTGGAAATGGACTCCACAGTGAAAACGCCACCCACCCACGCACACACACTAGCACAAAGCACTTACACGGAACGCTGCAAGGATGATTCTTGTCACTTTCTCCTTGACGGATTCTTGAAGGATATCGGACAGAACAGGAATGATATTATAGCGCCGCAGGTGTTCACACATTTGGGGACTGAATGCCAGGAGCCATATTGAAAAAATCATTTGATACTGGAGTTGAAAGCCACATTTGTTACTCAAAACTCCCATTATGCTGTAAAGGAACACATATTAAGAAAACATTTAATATGACAGTGTAACAACAAAAAAGAAATAATTGATTATTCTTTCTGCACCAATGGAACGAAATTATGCCCTCGGTTCCTTTCCTTCCATAACAAGCACTCTTGACTCCTACTCAGGGAGGACCACTTGCAGCACAGCTTCACTCAACCCACTCTCCAGGAGTCACAGGACTTCAAGCAGCACCGCCTGCTGCAGGGAAGCAATGAGGAAGGAAACACAAACTTGCAATACAGCAGAAGGAACAGTATAAAGAACACGAGAGACATTAAAGAAGCTAAAATCAACAGGATTGGTGGCACGACAGATGCACATCCTAGTGAAGTCAGATGTTATATCAAGATTTTGAATTTGGACAACCAAGATGATCACGTATAGCTTTAAAAATACTTAGGAAACTCAGAGAGAAAAGAAGGAATGAGTTTGGCAAAAACCCACTATGAATCTAAATTTTTAAAACAATATATCTTTATAATTTCTTTTTTTCTTAATATATCTTTATTGATTTCATAGAGAGGAAAGGAGATGGATAGAGAGACAGAAACATCAGTGATGAGAGAGTCATGGATCAGCTGCCTCCTGCGTGTCCCCAACTGGGGATCGAGCCCGCAACAGGGCATGTGCCCTGACCAGGAATCGAACCCCGATCGCCTGGATCCTGGGTGGACGCTCAACTGCTGAGCCATGCCCGGCCGGGCTGAATCTAAATTTGACATAGCCAATCACTGAATTGGGGGGTTAGAGCCTGAGAAGTGTCTAGTTCAACCTCTCATTTTACTGACACGAAAACTGGGAAAGCTAATGGAAATGAAAGAGTTTACACCAAGAAAGAGCACGAAGGTAATTGCCCTGGGGAATGCCTCATTCACACAAGGAAGAACAAACTATCAAATTAGGCCACTAAAAAATGACTAGGATGTACAACACAAAGAACAAACTCTAATATAAACTATGGACCACAGTTAGTAAGAATAGATCATCATTGGTTCACCAGCTGAAACAAATGTAGAATACGAATGCAAGATGTTAATAACAGAGAAAACTATGGAAGGGCAGGTATATATGGGAACTTGGCACTTTCAATTTTTCTGTCAACCTAAAACTGCTCTAAAAAATAAGTCTATTAATATAAACAAATTGTAAATCTAATTTTACAATCTATAACTACTAAGTTAGTGGAAGGTTTACATTGGCACCATTTCTCCATTTCTGTGATTTGTATACTAGTTATAAATTTGCTAAGTTGCCCTTAATTTTCTTATGAATGATTTCTCCCTTGAGTCTTTTCTATTTTGGGTGTTATGTAAGACTAGCATTTATTTAATATTAACATCAGTATTTCAACATCTGTAAAATCATGTAATTTTATTCTAGTAACACCCTAATATCTGGTTTCCTGTGCTGTCTGATTCTTCCAGTTACTAAGGTAAGGCTTCTACACTTCGTGATGCTATTGCTAAGACTTCAAGCCACATTTCTGCTTTACCAGCTGGTTCTGCCAATAGGAGGTGCTAGAGGCTGACTGCAAGGATGGAGGGAGAAGGGAGTGTCTCCTTTTGGCTTCCCGTTCCTGTATTACTCAGCAGCGTTTCTTCACCCTGGTAGCAACTGTTCTTTCCCATGGCAGCAGCTGAATTCATTTTGCAACAGCTTTGGCAGAACAAGCCTCACTGTGCACCCTCAGAGACACAGCAGCACCAGCTGTCTGGGTCCCCGACCTATAAGGCCCCTGCTTTGAGCTCAGGGGCAGTAGTACACCTCCCTCTATGGTCTAAACTCAAAATGGATAAAAGACTTAAATGTAAATTTCAAAATCATAAAAACCTTAGAAGAAAACATAGGCAGTAAAATCTCAGACATCTCTTGCTGCAATATTTCTGCTGATATATCTTGAGGGCAAGGGTAACTCAGAAAAAGATAAACAAATGGAACTTGATGTCAAGTTAAAAACCTTCTGCACAGCAAAAAAAATCATTAACAAAATGAAAAGAAAAGCACTGTATGGGAGAACACAGTCACCAATTATACATCCAATAAGGGGTTAATTTTCAAAATATATAAAAATCTTAGACAACTCAACACCAGGAAGGCAAACAATCCAATTAAAAAATGCACAAAGGACCTGAATAGACACTTCTCCAAAGAGGGCATACAGATGGTCAATAGACATATGAAAAAATGCTCAACATCACTAATCATCAGAGAGATGTAAATTAAAACTGTAATGAGGTATCACCTCACACCTGTCAGAATGGCAGCTATCAATAAATCAACAAACAGCACGCACTGGCAAGGATGTGAAGAAAAGGGAACCCTAGTACACTGCTGGTAAGAATGCAGACTGGTGCAGTCACTGTGCAAAACAGTCTGGAATTTCCTCAAGAAATTAAATATTGAACTGCCGTTACACTTCTGGGAATATATCCTAAGAATCCTGAAACACCAATCAGAAAGAACATATGTACTCCTATGTTCATAGCAGCATTATTTACAATTGCCAAGATCTGGAAACAGCCCAAGTGCTCACCAGTAGATGAGTGGGTAAAAAAGCTGTGGTACATTTACTAAGCTCTGTAAAAAATAAGGAAGTCTTACCCTTTGTGACAGCATTGATGGACCTGGAGAGTATTATGCTAAGCAAAATTAACCAGTCAGAGAAAGGCAAGTACCATATGATCTCACTAATATGTGCAATCTAATGAGCAAAATAAACTGGCAAACAAAATGGAACCAGAAGCATGGATGCATGGAACAGACTGGCCGATGTCTGAGGGGAGGGGGATAGGGGTGGCTGGATAAAGGAGGTGAAGGGATTAGCTAAAAAACATACTTCATACTCCATGGACAGAGACAGTAGTGGGGTGAAGGCCAAGGGAGGGGGAGGCAGGGGTGGGTGCAGGTGGGCAAA